TCCTCTTCCACAGAGTCTTGTCTGTCATGAATAGCCTGGATCACATACCTGAGGTTAAAGCCAGAAAATGAAACAAAAGCCAATATCATATAACTGAGTGGTTAAGAGAAAAAGAAGCAAGGTTTGTCCAGAGGTTGCTAAGATGAGGAGTAAAATTCAAGAACTGATGGAGGAAAATCAAGTAACACGCTTGGTAAGGCTCTTGGCAACATACACAGTTGTTGATTTGGAGCAGAGCATGGGGGCCCAAGCCTGCAATAAACAAAACTTATGGGAATTCGCAAAGATAAATTAGAAAGACAGTCAACAGGATTTCTCATATAATCAGTATCAGTAAGATTTGTGTGTAGTTTTTTGTTAATGGGATAGGGCAGCCAGGAGTGAAAGACCTGTAAATTTATTGCCATGGAGAAGAGCAAGTTATTATGCAAGTTTTATGTGTTGAAATTCTTTCTTCTATGCAACTGTTAAAGGTGATGGACTCATGTCATCTTTTGCATCTGACCACACTGGCAACTCATGCAAGGCCAAGGTTTGTAATTCCCATGAACTTTGTCTGGTAGGAACTTTTCTCCTTACTAAATCAAAAGAAAAGACGAAAAACCCGTTGGTGGGAAATACCCATTGTGCTGTTTCCGCCAAAGCACATCCTTAATCCTAGAAAGCACATTGTACAAAGAAGTGCCATGAATCATCTGTAGAATTTTTAGGAATGGTGCTCTGTGATATTTTAACTCTCGCATCTTTGTTCTGCCATTTCAAAACCTGATGCTCACTGAGAAATCAACACTGTACACCAGGGGTAGGCAACCTTTCCCCTTTAAGGGCCAAGGGACTTCAGCTCCAGAATCCCAGGAGCTATTGGCCAACATGGGACTATTGGCCAACATGGCTGAGGCTTCTGGGAGCTGAAGTCCCTCGGCCCTTAAAGGGGAAAGATTGCCTACCCCTGCTGTACACCTATAGCAGAGGTGGGGAAAATATGGCCTGCAAATCACATGTGCCCCGAAACTCCTCACCAGTACTCTAAAACCCCTCAACCCTGATTTTTAAAATAATTGACAAGATTTGGGGCAATTTTTGCAGAAAGCTCCCTGAGATGCATGACAGCTCATGGAAATGCTTCCACTCCATCCTCATAAGGACCCCAGAAACCAATACTACCCCCAAATACTTCTGTTTTCCTCTGCACTCCTTCTCAAAATAGCAAGAGGAAGTGACATGTCAATGAAAACAGAGGTATTTTGGTTTGCGGAGGGATTGTGAACTGTGGAGGGTGGTTCTCAAGGAGAGGAGAATTGACTTCTGGCCCTCATACAGATGCCCACCTGTAGCATATAATGTTACTCAGAAATATGTCCCATTGAGTTCAGTGGTGATTGTTGTTGTTGTTGTTGTTGTTGTTGTTGTGTGCCTTCAAGTCATTTACAGCTTCTGGTGACCCTAAGGCAAACCTATCACAGAGTTTTCTTGGCATAATTTGTTCAGAGGGAGTTTGACTTTGCTTTCCTCTGAAGCTGAGAGAATGTGATTTGTCCAGTGTTGTCACCCAATGGACTTCCATGGCCAAGCAGGGATTCAAACTTTAGTCTCCAGAGGCATAGTCCAATACTCAAACCATTACATTGTGCTGGTTTTCTCAGTGGTGATTACTCCCAGGCAAGTAGGTATAGAATTGTAGCCCAAGCACCAAAGGCAAAAAGACAAACAAAACACAACCCACACAAAACAAAACCCCTGTGTAGGTTGTGTAAGTGCCCTGTCTTTATCCTGCCTTTAATTCATCCAGGCTTTGTAAAATGGGACACAAAGAGTCCTACATGCTCACATAACTTGTAAGGGTGTTGTGGGGTTACACAGGCTAGTCCTCTGCCAACATCCACTTCCCATATCCCCTTATTCAGTGAATGTGTAAAATGAGTGTGATGAGTATGAGGAATCCAGACTCCTCACCCCCATCTATCCTAGAAATGCCATTGAAAAAGAAAATGGTCATGTAGTTGGAGACATTAGAAATTTGCATCTCTATGTATTCCAGGTGGATTCTTCCCCTTCACTCCTGCCTTTCCCCATGAATCCTGCCTTTCCCCATGAATCAGCCTTATGTCAAATACATATATACGGGAATCACCTGAATCATCATTCCCTTACAGGCAATTGTTTGGTCAGTTTCAGTTTCTCTCTCTGGGCCCTGCTCAATACACTGGTCTTTGAGATTTATTTATTTATTTATTTATTTATTAGTGAGTGATTGATTGGTTTGGGGTGTCTGATTATTACAGTTTGTCTCCTGGAGCTTCATAACTCTTCATAGGTTGTTACTGTCCTCCTTGGGTCCAAAGCTGGTCAAAGACCATCATATGCCAGGACTCAGGAGGGGACACAAAAAATAAATTGAAATGAGTCTGTGACATTCCCACCAGAGCAAAGATGATAGGTGAAAATCACCCTGGAAAAGAAATGAAAACATAAAATGAGAAATGAGAAACCATACCCGAGCTCGACCTGGCTTGTGGAACCATCTCTCCAAATTGATCAGATGAGCGCTGAGCCCTTTCCCCAGCTGGTTGAGAAATGCCAAATTAAGAGGCACCCCGAACAATGCATAAAATACACAGAACACCTGCCCAGGCACTGTGCTGGGGGCCAGGTTCCCATAACCTGTGAGGAAGATGGAAAGAAAAGAATCACAACATTTGCTGTACCTCTCTAAATAACCATATCAGACTTATGCCCACACGTCTAATGGCCAATCTATATTTTATACATCATATTCTTCTGTAGTAGGAGATAGACTCCTACCTGTAGTGGGAGCTTGATTTGTTACTTGTTTAAATCAAAGAGAGAAAAAATTATTTACTTTGGCAAGTTCATGTTTTATCTTTATATGGCAAGCACTTTGAAGCTTCTGTGAATGTGTAAAAAAACCACCAAAAATTAAACATGCAAAAATTATGTTTTTTCCCATTCTGCCTGTCTAGATAATTAATCATGGAAAAGGTACATGTAAAAATGGGTGTTGGTTGAATATATGGCTTTTTAAATGCACCTTTCAACATCCCAGTCTGTTCTGACGTGGATTTGCCATGAGTACTTTGTACCATCAGTCATGCATGATTCATATTTTTACTGGAAATATTGTGGAAGCTCAAAAAGGAAAGTTTCTCAGAAAAAAGAAAAGGAAAAGGAATAGTTCACCTTACCTATGGTGGTGACAACAGTTCCCGCAAAGAAGAAGCTATTGCTGAAATCCCAATTGCTGGGATTGGTAGAGTTTCCTTCAGGGTTGACACCTTTCTCCCAGGCCTCCATAATGACCTGAAGAAGAAACATCGTTGAAGGGATTCAGCCTGTGTTGAATAAGATTACATTCTTCTTGAATGCATACATTCACAAGTTTACGTGAATTCCTAGATTTGATCCTGAAATTAGATTACCAGCTTCCACGGTGGTGAAGAGTATGTCTGTGTAGTTAGGCTTAGTGCCCCAACTGTCCTAATTCCTGAAGGTGTCAGATCTGGTCATGCTGGCATATGCCTAGCTACATCCCATTTGGGCTACTGTAACATGTTATATGCTAGATTTCTATGTTTGCATTAGTTACATTCTGATTGCTGTAGTTACATCCTGTTTGGATTAAAAGGTAAAGGTATTCCCCATGGACAAGATTGTCAAGTAGTGTCCAACATAGGGGGTGGTGCTCATCTCCATTACTAAGCCAAAGAGCCAGAATTGTCAGAGACTACTCTGTGATCATGTGGCCAGCATGACTTCACAGAACGCTGTTTACCTTCCCACTGAAGTGATGCCTATTTATCTACTTGCATTTTCATGCTTTCAAACTGCTAGGTTGGCAGAAGCTGGGACTAATGATGGGAGCTCACCCCATCATGCAGCACCTGGGCCTCAAACTGCCAACCTACTGATCTTGCAATCAACAGAGTCAGTGTCTTAACCACTTGAGTGACTGCATAACATGTTGTATATATTCTGATTTCTATATGTGGACGTGAAAGCTATACAGTGAAGAAAGCAGACAGGAGGAGAACCCACTGAAATGTGGTGCTGAAGGAGAATTCTGCATAATCATGGACTGTTAAAATGACCAATAAATTATACAATATGACTCATTTGAAAAAACCCAATAATGGTTGGTAAAGTGGGAGGCAATAAGAAAAGAAGAAAACTGCACCAGAAGTGGATAGGTTCAACTAAAGAAGCTATGACCCTGCCTTGCAAGTGTCCAGAAACCACTTGATCAAGAATGTTGTGGCCATTGTTGAGCAGTTACACAGAAAATGCAACTCCCTTATTATCACAGGTTCACTCCTGCTGGTCTGCTTCTAGGCAAAATTCAAAATGGTGGCTGTGCAACTTGTAGCTGGGCTATTTGAAAAACTGTGTTTTCCATTATCAGCATCCTCAGCTTTTAAGATCTTGTGAGGTTGGCTTTCTCTTTGTTCTGTCACGTTCAAAAGCATGTTTGATGGGGAGACAAGAGAGGATTGATTGTAGCAGCTACCAGGGTTTGCACCTTCCAGGTGAGGAATGCTATGGCTCCTACCCTGTTTCTCCTGGGAAACTGACCTAGTTAGTGTTCCAGAAAGGTTGTGGATCTCTCAAAAACATGCTATCTCTAGATGTTCTAACACAGAGGCCAGACCAATGGCAGTTGGGAGGGCATTTAATCAGCTACTGGGCAAAAGCATGATGGAGATGTGCCTGGCTGCTCTTCTCCCCCTTAGAGGCCATAGTAGTGCCAGTTGGAACATGGACAGCTTTCACCAGTTACTGAGGCAAGGCATGATGGTGCTATCTAAATTGTGTATGCCTAAATTATATAGACCAATAGAAGGTATCTGTCCAGTGCCAAAATAGATTGGGAGGGAGCTGAGAAAACAATCCTGACAAGCATTAATGTTTCATTATGTTCTAAATACCTAAATTATATAGACCAATAGAAGGTACCTATTGCCTGAATTTATGGGTGTAAATCCTGAGCCAGCGTGGTCTAGTGGTCTGAGTGCTGGACTAGGATTCTGGGAGACCAGGGTTCAAATCCCTGCTTGGCCATGGAAACCCACTGGATGACCTTGGGCAGATCACGCTCTCTTAGCCTCAGAGGAAGGTAATGGCAACCCCTCTCTGAACCAACCTTGCCAGGCAAACCTCATGATAGTTTGGTCTTAAGACCACCCTAAATTAGATATTATTTGTAGGCACACAACAACAGCAACAAATCCTGACTTGATTCATAGTAAATGAGAAAATGGAAATACTTTGCTCTTTGCCCCAAGAGAGTGAGAGTGGTTGGTTTGTGTGGGACTTTGAGACATTTTGTACATTTTTGAGACTGATTTTTGATGTGGAAAATGTAACACTGCAACAAATGTTACCTTGTTGCATGGACTGCTAAAAGGTAGCAATGCACAATGGGTTGTAAATTCCTTTTTTCAAGCCATCAGATTGTCTTTTTGTGTTAACCATATGTGTGTGCTGAGCAACATAAAGGGGAAAGAAGCCAGGTTTGCAAAGATCTTTTTGCACTAATGGTGGGAAATGATACCCCCCCCCCCATAAACCCTGCCTGGTGCCTTCCACTTGTGCTGGTGGTGAGACCTCTTGTGAAACTTGGAGAAACCAGAATAAGATTCATTTGAAGATAGTCTGTCCCAATAAAAATCTCATAAATTACAAGATTTTTATTTACACTTCTGCTTGAATTTTCAATGTCTGAACACTGGGCTGAATCCAGTGATTGCTTTTCAGTCATAGGACATTATCACACATGGGCCAGAAAGCGATAATAAAGTGG